AGGGGCCTACGTGACCTCGATATTGTAGTATGATTCAAAAAGAAATTTAATAGCACCTGATTTGTAAAATTGAATCTTGTGTTATAAGATTTGAGGTAATTTTTCCTAAAATCAATTTTGGTTGAATAAAAAGTAATAAACAAATAACAGCTTTTGCTATCATCTCATCGAGGTCAACACTCTAAGATGAAATTTCAAAACTCAATACAATGTAATATTAGTTGACTCAAGAAAAACAGGGAATAAAAAAGTTAGCCCAAAGCAAGACGAACAAAAACATAAACACCTATACAATCCCTTGAATTTTACAATTTGAATTCATAAAAATATATCTCTACCTTGAAAAAATGAACTTGTAAAAATTAAATAATTACTGAAAACTTACAATGTGTGAAGGAGTATAGTGCATTTGATTTATCATTGAAGGGCTCTTTGAACCTTTGTCTTGAACACTAAAATGTACAACTTTTCCACGGAGAAATAGAGGAAGCAACCGGTCGAGTGAGTTACAAATGAGCCGAAGCTTGAGCCGACAATGCAATGCCAGGCCGGTCCATACACGTTATCAAATTCCTACCAATTTAAAAAAAAAAAAAAATCAGCTCATGAGTTAAAATTATACAATAATAATAAAAATATTACTTTAAATTATAGGTTTTTTTGTGCACATGGGAGGCAAAGGGAACATAGAATAGACCATTAGCATATTATTAGACAATAACATTCTGCAATTATTAAGGTTGATTACTTATTTCTCTAACATGGGATGTCTAGGTAAGTGCCTAGTTTCGAAATTTAATTAATCGCTATGATTTACTTTTCCAACAAATAACACAGATAAATATGTTTGACACGTTAAAGCCAAACATGATAAGATAAACGACAATCCCTCGTATTGGTCTCCCCAATAAGGGGGGCCTTTCAAGAGATGGCCGACCACGCAAGTACGTACAAATTAATTTCATTTCCTTGTATAAAAAAGATGGATCTTAAATTAAGAGTCGAACAAACAAAACCCTTAAGATCAAGGATAAAGCTGTTTGTACACCAAGTGTACGTACACCTGTCTCACATGAATAGCGTGCGCGAATATTTTATTGTGTGTGGGACCCCCTCCATGTAAGGGGGTGTAAAAGATTGTGTGAATGATTATGTACATGTAGCATGATTGTAAGATCAATTCTCCGTTACCCAATTTTGTATAAAAAATTCTACATGTTAGGCCATTAACGAGAAATGAATTCCATATGCATGTAGAAAACAACATGATGAAAATATAAATATAAATAAATTTCTCGACCTACCTTCTTCATGTTGTAAGCCATGTGTTTAGGGCTAAACTTCTCCAAATTGTCATAAATTCTTCTTGCACATTTGAAGGCATGGACTTGCATGAACCCTGGCATATCAGTAACCAACACTTTCACTTGAAGAAATGCAGCCACTGATCCTGCATTCACTTCCACATGTGAAACTGATTTTCTTGTTTCTATAATTGACACTGATTTTCTTGATTCCGCCACCTCTCCTAAGCCTTCTGCCGCCTTCAATCCGTCACGATCAGCACTTTTTCGATAGGTTTTCGACCTCACTAGTCCCCATCCCCGAGATATCGACTTCTTAACGGTTGCTGGATAGTTCGATTCCGGCTTCAAATTTCCAGTTCCCATATTATAGACATAGATGTTTGCTTTCTTTTGCTTCTCACCACATGTTGCCATTGCTCACTCTTGTTTGATAGTTTTGTGTAGTTTGACTCTATATAACTTTTATTCTGAAGTTTATATATATATATATATATGCAGTTTTTACTATGGAAAAATTGCATCATAGGTTCCCAAATTATTTCAAGAGTAACAAGTTGGTCTTCATCTTTGAAAATAGATTAAGTTGGTAATTAACCTTTCAATATAGTTGCACCACCAATTTCCTTGAGGGAAACTATCCAAATCATTTGTGGTCATTACTGAAACACGGATCACTTAAAATATATACGCACGAATCCAAGATAAGAAGCAATACCTAACATAAAAAAGTTGGTAATCAATATTTCATTATAGTTGCAATGCCAAATTTCAATAAAGGGCACAAAGAAAATGATACGAATACTGCATTTTGTCCAAATTTTTGCTTAACTTCATAAAAATATGCCTAATTTAAAATTTCTAATCATAAGTCCTCAAGTTGAGGAACAAAACCTAACTTCTCAATGTATCTGGTGTTAACGATTGATTTGGCTACTCCTTTTTAAAGTTTAGAGATCAACTTGCTGCTTATGAAACGAGTTGAGGATCAAAAGTGCAATTATATCTATATATGCAATCCCCATGAATAGCACCAGAAATTTGCACCGAAATAATTAATTATAAGTTGAATAGAAAAAGAGTAAAAATGATTAAGAGAAGCAAACCATGTGGTATTACCTGTAATTTGTGTTTTTATATGATGGTGGGATTTGTCTAGCAAAGGAGAGATTTGGTGTATTCTGTTGTTTATTCAACCAATGGTGTAATGAATATTGCATATTTGTCTCCAATGGATTCGTCCCAAGACAGACAGCCACTAACATGCATGGAAACCTTACCTTTTACCCACCCTTTATTTTGTAGGTCCCACCTAACCCCTTTACACTATACACTAAAGTTATAATTAATTGTTTTTTTTTTTTCATTTTTGGATTTTTTTCCATGTCCCCTTAGAGTGGCCCCTGACCATTTAATGTTAGAAATATAAATCATATCTAAAATCGAAATCATATCTAGATGCTAACATCCTAGATTAAAATAACCAAAAGCCTAGGATCT